GCCACTATCAGAGAGGGGCAGCAAGAGGGAAAGCAGCAGCTGGTGCTGGGGGAAGCTGGCTTAAAAGCTGACTCCCCTACCCCACAACACCATCTCTGTAGGGGGCCAGGGAAGGCAGAGGGCAGTGGGGAAATGGTGCGAGCGGGGATTGAAACCGTCCCCCCCCCCCCCCCCCCGCGATCCCAACTGCTGCTTCTCTCCTTTTGAAACATACTGGAGCAGCCTGTGTATATTTTTTGGTTAGTCTCTAAGGTGCTACAGGACTATTATTATTTACGGTTTTTTTAGTTACAGACTAACATGGCTCCATCTCAGACTTTTACACCACAATCTTGGCTCAGAGTTACAAATATTTCAGTTACAAACAGCCTCCATTCCCAAAGTGTTCATAATTCTCAGGTTTTACAGTATCAAGGAATCAATGATGTGCCTGGCACAGTAACTTTAACCAAGTTAAAGTTTTAAAAGTATCATTATTTTTACAAGTAACTTGATTTCTGCCAACATATGCAGCAAGTCCGTTGGCATTTTCCATTCCCTGTAGTAGCAGCTCAACAGAGACATCTTCAACATGGATAACTTGGACCCCAATCCCAAGAAGAGGTGGCAAAATGGTAGTTTCTCTCCTGAGTGACTTTCAATGCAATCTGACAAAGTGAACAAATACAGATTAAAAAAAAAAAACCTAAGAAAATCATATTTAAATCAAACTTTTCTTTTGATTTAAATCTGGGTTTCTTTTATAAAATAAACCCATTTCAGATTGCCATAATTTTAAATGTAATCTATGCTAAAGCCTAAATTTAATTCTAACCTACTAAAAGAATTTAAATTAAATATAAAAATACTAGTATTTGCTGTTCATTTCTAAAGAAAGTCAGACTACTAGACTGGTAGAAGTCTTTGGCTAAGCACCTGAAACCAGCACCTGCCAAAAAGCTAAGCCAGCTTTCGATAGCAGTAGCCTCTTCTGCAGAAGCAAAGAGAATATTTGCTTCATTTCTGTTTATTCAGCTAGTTCAGTTCAATGACTAATTCATTCAAAAACCAACTTGGAGTTGAAAAAGCAGGAAATAAGAACATAACATAACAGCCATACTGGGTCAGACCAAAAGTCCATCCAGCCAATATCCTGTCTGCCGACAATGAACAATACCAAGTATTCCAGAGGGAATGAACTGAACAGGTAATGATCAAGCCCTCTCTCTCCTGCCATTCATCTCCACAAACAGAGGCTAGGGACACCATTCCTTACTCATCCTGGCTAATAGCCATTAATGGACTTAACCTCCATGAATTTATCTAGTTCTCTTTTAAATCCTGTTATAGTCCTACCCTTCACAACCTCCTCAGGCAAGGAGTTCCACAGGTTGACTGTGCGCTGCGTGAAGAACTTCCTTTTATTTGTTTTAAACCTGCTGCCCATTCATTTCACTTGGTGGCCCCTAGTTCTTATATTATGGGAACAAGTAAATAACTTTTCTGAATAAACTATAGGAGGGTAAATTCTGTTAGCTCTAAAATCTTGAAAGACATGGTTACCAGAAATAATTAGTTCCATTAATTATCTACAGATATTTCCCTTGATGAAAACGGTAGTTTTGCATTTAAAGTATATTTTAATTGCATATTTTCTTATCTATCTTGCACTGTACAGTAGCTTTATTTAACAAAAATGCTAATTGTATATATTAAATGACATTTTCCATCCAGTTTCACAAATTACAAAAAAGAAATTAATCTAGTAAATAAAAAAAATTATTCACCATTTTCTAACACAAAAACATAAACCATTAAGATGAATCATAGTAACTTAAGCTATTTAATTGCTTAAATGAATGTATATAGATTAGAATAAGCTCCCGATCAGCAAAAAGAACCATCAAATGCAGTGTAAAGATACTACATTGCAAATAGTAGGTTTTAATAGTTACCAAGAAAAGTCAACTTAAAACCTCTAAAAAGTACAAATGCAAAACATGGCTAAAATCAATTATTTAAATCAAGCTTTCCTACTTGCTGATTTATAATCAACTCATCCTGCAAAATCTGGGGACCTAACTGCCCTCTGTATTTCTGACATTCTCTCCCATAGATAATGTGGCCTTTAGGGAAGTTAAAATTAGATGAATCAGCTAACTGAATAGTCGATGGAATTTCCATTGACTATTTGATTACTCGATAAGGTCACTTCCATTTTGAAATGTAGCAACAGCTGGGCGGGCTGTTGCTACATTTCCAAGGCGGAAGTGCCGCACAGCATTCTGCCTTTGAAATGTAGGGGCTCTTGTGCATTTCAAAGATTGAAACGCTGCATGGAGCCTGGGGCCAAAGAGGAGCTCCACTGGCCCCCAGGCTCCATGTGGCACTTCCACTTTGAAATGTACAAGAGCCTCAGCAGGGACTCTTGTACATTTCAAAGATGGAATGCCACCGCTGTGCCCCTGCCCCTTCCACGGAGCTGGAGCTGAGGGGAACCAGCTTTTAAGCCAGCTCCTCCCAGCGCCCCATCCTCTTTTCCCCCCTTGCTGCCACTTCCTGATAGAGGCAGGGGAGAGGGGGAGGGACTAGTCGACTAGTGTGTTGACTATCATAGAACACTAGAACTTGAAAGGACCTTGAGAGGTCATTGATCCAGTCCCCTGCCTCATGGCAGGACCAAGCACCATCTAGCTCATCCCTGACAGGTGACTGTCTGACCTGCACTTAAATCTCTCCAGGGATGGAGATTCCACAGCCTCCCCAGGCAACTTATTCCAGTGTTTAACCACCCTGACAGGCAGGAAGTTTTTCCTGATGTCCAACCTAAACCTCCCTGGCTGCAATTGCTTTTGCTTATCAGTTAGTCAACTAGTCGATTAGTTGCTTACATCCCTAGTAGGCAAATGGTTATCGGAAAGTCAACAGGATAGTCGACTAGTCGCTCCCCTCCCCCCCATTGCCTCTATTAGAAAGAGGCAGTAAAGAGGGGCAATAGGGGGGTACTTAAAAGCAGCAGCACTGCATAGAGCCCAGGGTCAGCTGGGGACTCCCCAGCTGATCCCAGGCTCCACCCAGCATTTCAAAGCAGCAGTGCTGCACTGAGCCCGGGTCAGCTGGGGAATCCTCACCTGATCCCGGGCTCCAAGCTGGTTTGGGCTCCGTGCAGCATTTCAAGGTGGCAACACCACTTAAGAGCCTGGGATCAGCTGAGGACTCCCCAGGTGACCCGGGCTCAGTGCAGCGCTGCCACTTTGAAACGCTGAGTGGAGCCCGGGGTCAGCTGGGGACTCCCCAGGTGATCCTAAGCTCAATGCCAGGTTCAAACTTTGAAATGCACGAGAGCCCCCGCTGCGGCTCTTGTACATTTCAAAGGAGGAATGCAAAAGTGCCTCTCAACTAGCAAGTAGTCGATGGACATGCCATCGACTACTCGACTAGTAAATTAATCATTACTTAACATCCCCAATCCCTTGTGGGCTTGACCAATTCTCCCCTCTTTGTAACATTTCACATAGATTTATTAAAAAGAGAACAAAAATACATTGCCATCCCAGGTGCTGAGCCTCCTCTACAAAACATGAACCCATAGTATGTATGTACAGTTTGAGGTGGGCATTTTGGCCTTTTTCCTGTAGATCTGATTGAAGTCTTTGGGGAAAATAGAGTAGTTAGTATCCCATTATCCAAAACTAACATTCAGTAATATGGAAAACCTGGACACATTTAACAAACAGCTCTAAAGCTTAATGGTTTACTTACATTTTACAGCTAATCTTCTATCCTCTTAACTCAACAAATTGATTCAGCTTGAACTGTGACTGTCCACAGCCTAAACCCTAAACACCCAGTGGTTCTATAAAAGTAAGCCTGGGCGCACAGATTTAGAAGTGATTGACCTTTTCCTCCATTAAGAGGAATAATATCCTTTAGAAGAATGCAAGACTAGAACAAAACAGCTACTGCAACTATTGTTTAAAATAAGGCAAGAAAAAGGCAACCCAGCCACACACAGCCCCCTCAGTGACAGGCTATGTAAATCCTGCCAGATGCTAGACTTGATCTCCATTATAGGAGATGTTGCTGCGCTAATTACTTACAGTTGATAAGTTAGTTTTGATTTTACACCAACATAGGCACTGATTGCTAACACATCTTTTTCTGGTTCTCTCTGAGGCTATCACAGCAAAGTTGGCAACAGTTTTATAAACTGAGATCGCAGCATCTGCATACGTACTAAATGGAACAGAATCCAAACCACAGGCCATCTGAAAATTTCCATTACCACAAAACATACCATTGTGGTAACTACCACCTCTTTCAAACATTGCTTTTAAAGTTTCACATATAAAGCATCAATGAAAATTTGTTTTAAAACAGTTTCAGAGCTCTTCTCCAAACACTGGCACTCAAACTGAGGTCTGTGACCCACTTCCAGGTGGTCTGCAGAGCTATTTAACGGAAGATAAAACACCCTCCCGTATTCAGGAAGTAACTTTTCCTCCTAGATCTAGACAGGAATTTGAGACGTTCTGAAGGCTTTTTTAGACAAACACAAACCTCTGCATTCCAAATAGCTGTTTCATAAATTCTTTTTGGTTTTCTGAGTATGTAAATTCAAACATGACTGACTTACAGACAGCCCCAAAGAGAAGGGGAAACAATAAAAAATTAACAGAAAAATGGGAAGTGAGGAACTCAAGTAACTTGGGGGTTAAGTCTTACTCCATGTGCAGACTCTACACTAAGGGACAAAAATAGAGTATACAGTTAGAACGGGCATGGGGCGGGGAGAATATTGCCATGTAACAGCACCCATCTCCAATTAAGCTTATTTTGAGCCTTTCCCCTTCAGGTCACACTTATGTTCTCCCAGGTAGTCACGCACTGTATTGTAGAAAGGTACTATCCAAAAGAAGTTACCCACAAAACCAGACAACTTTGAAACCCAATGCCCTGGAAGAGGGGGCGATAGTTACATTACGTAAGGGCTGCTAAAGCAGAGTGGACTCCCACCTTACCTGGAAACGCATGCGGGTTCGGCGATCCTCTTTTAAGGCACTTGGAACAGAGGACGTGCACAGTATAGTACAGACCTGGCCACTCGTGCAGCAGTACATTCAGTTCTTCCACTAAGGGGGTTATAGCTTGCCAGGCTGTCCATATATTTGGTAGAGATGCGTGACTAGCAATAGATAGAGTATCTGGTTGGAGAGTGCCCCTAGCAGGCCTGTAACTCACCACGACAGGCACCTTCCCCCTGTAGGCATAAATCTGGTATTTGCCATCGGACCGCTGAACCACGTGGCTGTTAATCTGGACACTGTAGCGGGCGAATAACCCGGGGGGGAAGATGAAGGGGAAGATGTATTCAATCTGCAGCTGTTCAATGACAAGGGACTGTCCACTCAGGTTGGTCCCATTAATCCAGGCTTCTGCGTGGGGCACCTCGTTCTTCACATAGCAAGGGAACTTGTACCAGGCAGCAGCCCCATTCAGGGGTTTGCATTTGGGCTTATTGATACAGTAGCAGAGCCCCATTTTCTCCAGCAGCTCCAGGATAAGCAGCAGGTCCTCCCTGCTCTGGATATGGGGCTTGAGAAGCAAGCGGATAACATGGGCAGGAAGGAGCCCATACAGCAGGAACCCTTCCACATAGTGGTGGAGCTGGGTGGCTTTCAGCTCGTCTGTCTGGGTGTCACGGAGCAGCTTCCGGAGCAGCACCGTGGCATCCCGCTGGCAGAAGACGTTGAGAATGTCAATGAGCCTGGGCAGATTGTGGAATACGTATTCCCGCAGAGTCAGATGCTCCTCAAAGTACAGCAGCTTTCCACTTTCATGCAGATAGGACAGGGCACTCTGGAGTCGGTCCTCAGTCAGACCCGCCTGCAAGCCCAGACGCGCTGAATCCCACCAGCTGAGCCACAGTTGTTGAGCCTGTGGCTGGAAGTGCAGCTCTTCCAGCACCTGCCAGGATTTGGGTAGCACCCGGTGCAAGTTTGGGAAGATGTCCCGATGCTCAGCTACTGACAGTAGCTTCTCCCGCAGGCGGCACACGTGGTCGTTGTCCTGGCAGCTGATGGGCAGCACCGGTGAAAGGATCTGCAGGCGGTGGTTTAGCAGATACTGGAACTGGGCCTTCTTGCGCCGCAGGTTTTTGTCTGAAACCCCATGAAAGGCAGTGTGGGGGCTGGAGCAACGCAGGTCAAAGTCCTGCCCTAGGGCTTCGTCCACCTGCTGGGCCAAGTGCTGGAGTCCCTCAGCATCCCGCTTCTCCTGCAGGGCAATTTGGTGGTGGATGTCCAGGCACTTCTCCTCCAGCTCCCGCTCAGCACACAGGTCAGCATGGGTGCCCACCATGCACACTACAGCATGGGGCACTTTGGCACCTAGCCAGTGCAGGAAGTAGCCCACTGAGGAGTAGAAGCGATGGGGGGTGTAGGCACTCAGATTCACCACCAGCACATACAGGGCTCCAGGAGAGAGGAAGAAGGACTGGATCACATCATAGCTCGGGTCCCCAGCCAGCTCGTATACAATGAAGGTCAGACCCCTCTCTGCATCTGCTGTCCAGTCTGTCACCTCAATGCCCTGGCTGGTGCCTGGCAGCCCTGCTACCAGTGGCCTGAGGGGGGCGTGACAGTCCAGCAGCATGGGGAAGTGTCCTGTCTGGGCTTCCCCATTAACTGGTGGGGATGGAGATGGGCAGACATCCTGGTGCTCAGTAGAACAATCCTCTAGCGTGGTTTTTCCAGCAACTCTGAGGGACGGGGACAGCAGCGGGTCCTGCTGCTCGACAGAGGCAGGTCCTAGCGAGGAGTCTTTTGGAGACACAGCATCTCGGGGCTCAGTAATGGGGCAATGGCCTTGCTGTATTTTTCCAACCCTTTCAGGAGCCAGGCCCAGGTTGATGTCTCGCTGCTGCATGGAGTATCCTCTGGGCTGGGTTCTCCCAGCATCTTTGCCGGCTGCAGCCAATTGAGAGTCTCTCTGCCTCTCCTCCTGCATCAGGCACTTTCTCAGCAGGGTCTTCCCAGCATCCTTCAGGCCCATGAGGACCAGCTTGAGCCGGGGCTTAAGTGCAGGCTGGGAGTGTGCTAGCTCCTGCTGGTAAGCGGCAATGTAGGGGATGCCCTTCATGCAAACCTCATAGGGCGGCTGGATGAGCGGGTTGTCCTTGATCTTCCAGAGGCTGACCCGGGAGAGCTGCCCAAAGCCCTCGGGCAGGATGGCGATCTGGTTGCCCTGCAGCACGAGCTCCTCCAGGCTGTGGAGCTGCACGATGGAGTCAGGCAAGTAGCGGATGCGGTTGTTGTCCAGCCAGAGGGCGCGGAGCTGGCGCAGCTGGCAGAGGTGGGCAGGCAGCAGGGCGAGCTGGTTGCGGCTCAGGTAGAGCTCCTCCACGCTGGGCAGGGCCAGCACGGCCTCCGGGAACTCCCCCAGCAGGTTGGAGGAGAGGTTCAGCATCTT